TATGTGTGTGTGTGTGTGGAATTTTACACAGTGGGATAAGTAATTCAACCTTCGATCAATTTAAAAAAAATAACGCAAGTAATCGTTTATAGGCGAGACTCAATTAGCGTAATTAACTTGACAAAGGAAGTCGATAGGTTGTCGGTAAATGATCGGAACATAAGTGCATGTAGGTAGGCCAATGTGATAACGCTTATCTCGAGGAAACACGCAAACCGTTTGCTTGGTTGCTTGCTTGCTTGTTGCAGAGTTTGCATATCAATGATAATTCTTAAGAATTGTATTCTCATACAATATTTCTCATTAAACATAATAAAGTAACATTGTGGTGGTGGTGGTGGTGGTTTGTATTTATACTTAGTGTTAGATTTTTCATTGTTAAATTTCAATCGCAAAAAAAATAATACGATATATGACCGTTTCTTTTGAAAATTGTATAAGTACATTTGCAACTCTTATAAATATATATTATTTTAGTTAAATTATTCTAAAAGTAATGTATATAATTAAATTACATTATTGATCAATTAATAGAACTTGATATAATTAATAAATATTTTTAAATTAACCAATATACAAACCTTCAATTTTCTCGAAACAATACAAAATTGATTTACTGCACCACTTTCAAAATAAACGTTTCATACAATTACATTTAAAAAATTACAAATTTACAATACTAAATTACGTAGATATTTATTATACAATTTTTATATCATTTATAAACGTTAAACGATACGTACAATTGCAACGACACACACACAGACAATCAATTTATTGTATTTAAATATTGAAAAATATATCTAGTTGGTCGTGTGTGTTTGCGTGTAACATTCTATTACTATTCTACCATAATTACTATTTTCCACCACGCAATACGGTATCTAGTTCTATATCTTTGCTAATTTCTACTTTAGTTTACAAACTAGATGATAGAATGGGGCCTGAGAGAAGAAAATTTACGCTTCGACATAATCCGTGTCAGAGTGCATTCACGTTCGATTACAACGAGGACTCGGTGGGGTTGGGGGCTGGAAGGAGGAGGGTCGAAGGGTGGAAGGGGGGCATAGATTATTCATATATAAATCTCCGTTGAAGTGTCATTTCCTCTTAACGGAATCAATGGGAGAGAATAAAATGAAAACAAAAAAATGTATTCTTGGTAGATGTAACACAAACAGCAACAGCAACAGCAGCAGTAACAGCAGCAGTAACAGCAGCAGCTGGATGATCGTTAACGGTACTATTTTCCTCGAGTGTCGCACAGCTGCGTACGAGGGGGAGGAAGATGAGGAGGAAGAGGAGGAAGAGGGTGGTGATGGTGGTTCACATCATCGACGTCAAAAACAAAAGGGGGAAATTGGTGGACCCGTTGATTTCGCTACGATAATCGTTCGTGTGTTGCGTAGTAGTAGATAAGAGTGTGTGTGTGAGAAAGAGAGAGAGTGTGTGTGTGAGATTGCATGACTCGTGTACTTGTTTTGTTCATCGTTGTATTTCGTGCGTACATATTCTTGGCACACCTCTAAGAACCTATCTCTTTGCGTATCATTCTGTATATGTTTGTATGTGTGTGTGTAGGTACTCGCATACGTTGCCGATTATGTTAGACCCTCCCCCCCCTCTCCTCCCCTTCCCGTGGCCTTATATGCCGCTTCGTGAGTCCCATCAAATCCCACTGCACCCCACTCCACCCCACTGCAACCCAGCCCAATGATCGTTTCGTCTTTTGAACACGTGTGCTCTTATCAATGTTCATTTTTCTTTTGGATGTACGATAACGCGTCTAACACTCGTACTCGTACTCGTGAACCAAGTCATTTCCTTTCGATTATTTTTCTTGGATTTTTTTCTTTCTTTTTATGTCTTAAAGAGAGAGAGAGAGTGAGTGAGAAAGAGAGAGTCTCTTGCATTTTATTTGCGTTTTATTCTTACAACGCATTCGATTTTATATTTTTCCCTATTATTCTTAACCTTTTTTTCTTTTTGTTTTTTTTTTTCGAAAAATTTTAATATAGTTTAATATGATACAGGATATGGAAGAATATAGGAGACGAAGAAGAAGAATTATTCGGATTAGTGTTAAACAATTTTGTTTGATTTGTTTTTTTCGATAGTATGTTTCTCTATGCACGTATGTGTGTTAAAAGTATTACGTGCAAATACATTAAAAGGAAATTCAGGGCAACGCTCCGATGAAACACCTGCGTGCGTTTTACCACTCGTCTCGGTCGAAATCACAAGTTAATGAATTTTCATTGAACATCGGCATCTTTCTTACTAGCATACTGTTATATTATAATAAATTTATTACGATATATATATATTTGTCTATTGAGATTATTTTTTTTTCTTTTAATTTTTTGAGAGGTACGATCAAAATCATATGAAAAATTCGTTGGTTTTTTTTTATTCTTAATCAACTTTAATACGTCACGAAGGATACTGTTAATTAGGTCGAATTGTCCTTCATGATAATTTCATATACCATTTCCGTGCTTTTATTCGGTTATTTAAAGCTTTTTTTATTTCGATTAAAGAAATTCATGCACCACTCGAAGTACAAATGTTGGACAAATTTTTTATCTTTTTCTTTCTTTTTTTTTTAAATAAATACGTGCTATACATGGCAGCCACCAATAAATAATTGCACGCTTGTAAAATTTCTTTAAATATTTTTTTATCATGATTAAAGGTCAATCAATTATTTACTAGCATAGGGGAATAATTAAATTCATTTGGATAAATATTTCTATGAGGTGCTGCCATATTGCGTTACGCGATCAAATGATTATGTAGAAATCGATAATAATAGATTCCTGTTTTCTAATCGGTAATAGTAGAGAAGCTACTATCTAATTTTTGGCAACTAAGAGAGTATATGAAAGCAGTACTTTACTATTTAAATGTTTTAACATTATCAGCCGTATACAAAAAAAAGTTCATATGTTTCACGTAGAGATTCCTAAATGATTAAATTAAAATTTCTCTTAGAAATATATTGTACATACTTAAACTTTACATTTCACTTAAATATGAATGACTATGTAGACGATTATTTAATTAAAATATTGAGTAATAAATAAGCAAATCGAGTGAGCCACTATAGTAGCGCATGGATCTGTAAAAATATTAAAACAAAATATATATATTAAATTTTTAATTGTTATTTGTTTTTAAATGTATATAGAAGTTAATAACACATTCACTATTTGTATACTGCTAGTTACTAAAAGTTACTAGGAAATAAGAAAGTTTCAAAAATATTGAATTTCTAGTAACATGGCTACGACGAAAATGGTAATAGAAGTGCTCTACCTTTATCATACCGACAAAAAAAATTTTCACCGCAGAAAAAAAAAATTAATTGCTCTCAATTGCTCACTGATTGTTTATTTAAAACCCATAATTGCTTGCTTTATTTTTGCGATTTTTTTTAATGTCGGTAATTCCGATGGTAAGTTACCATCAGATCTCGGTCGGTAATACGACTTACCGACAAT